CGAATGTTTTTTTTGTAAAAATTATTCCGAGTCGCTAGACGAGGGAATTTTTTTTTCTAATCAACCACTTTCTTTAAGAATAGTGTAGAGTTATTTTAAATATATACTATACTTTTATCAAATATAAAAAAAGGAAAAGTAAGAATACAAGCATTTTATGCAAGTAAAGCGTGTACTTACAATAAGTATAAATAAATAAATTTTAAAGAAAGTATATTCTTAAAACAAGAATACTGTAAAGATTTTACAAAGAAACTATACTTTGATGAAGTACATACTAACGTTACAACAAGAATACCGTAGTCTTCATTAAAGACAAATTTGTATACTTAGCTCAAAATTAGTGTGTTTCTTATTTTTAGTATAGCAGTAATCTTAGATTAAACCGAAGCTATCTTTATTTTATAAGAATATGAGGATACTTAAACCAGTATAAATTTACTTGCGGAATAGGGAAACTAAGCTATACTTGGATAGAGTTGAATTTTCTTGGAATCAGTATAGATTTTTTTCCGTGTATGCTTATTCTTTAATAAAACCTAATTAAAGTGCATGATTGGAATTCTTTACCTACTTTTTTCACCAAAAACATTATTCAAAATTTAAATTTGACGCAAACGTGAATTCTTTTGTTTCTCGTGTTGGCATAGTGACATTTTACTGTTATTTTTTGACATTTTATTGTTTATTTAAATTATAAAAAGTGTAAAATAAGTAAAAGATGTAGAGATTCCAAGTGCGTAAATAACCTGGGCGACGTAAGTGATGAGCACGGATAACGTTTTCACCAGCAAATGAAGGCTATGGAGCGGCGGTATCACGGCTTCTGGGATGCAGCCATGATGGGTCCCTCATACGAAAAATGGAATACGAAAGCAAAAAAAACAAAGGAGACAGAATTTTTTTTAACCTATGCTTATTACAACAAAATGAAATTTTCAACATCTTCAATTTTCAATATTTAATGTTCAATATTCAATATAGAATTTAATTTCAATATTATTTGTTTAATATAAAAATAATGTTTAATAATAAATTTTATATAATTCAATAAAATTAAGAAAAAACGTAAACATTGTCGAAAAGCTGAATTTTGATCTTCCACTGAAAAATTCATAACTTCGCCATTTATAATAATTACACTAGTTTACAGCCTAAACGCGAAAATCACACTTAATTTTTTAGGAATTATTTCTACATGAAAAATGTTAAAAGAACAAAAAATGACAGTTGTATTTATTGGAATTCCGGTTAGAATTTCATTGAGATAATAAAAAAATTTCACATTTAGTAATATTTTACACAAAAGGCACTTTATTTTAACAAATGTTTGACATTTGTTAACTGCCAAATAACTTAAAACTAACTTCAGCCCGTGATTAAAAACCTGTTGGTAAGTGCCGGCGGCCGATTATAAAATATTGACCCAAGATAAATTATAAATAATATTTAATAAAATTCAAAAACAGAAACTAAAATTTCTTATTCCTTGAACAGAACAACTTAGTTTGACGCTTTCATTTAATTACAGGACTCGTATGTTAACCGAGATAAACACGAATAAATCACGGCTATAAAAAATCAATTAAAAGCAAGCAACAACATTCAAAGAAATTCCTGCAGAATGTCATACAATAGAAACACGTTCGCGGAGAGTTTAATTATGCCCGTTTACGTTTTTCATAAAGGACATCTGATCCTTTACGCCAATTCAACGAGTAATCCGAAATAAAATTTATGTTTAAATGGACGACTGACTGACGCAAATTAACGATATAAATTTAAATGAGCAATTGTACAAATGTCTTTTATAGCTCATCCGATCGATGCGTGGCGGCCTTATAGAGTTTTTCTTAACAATAATTAAAAGTTTATTACTTCGGTAACGACAATGTCGACAATTCACCAGGAACATATTAGTTTTTTATATCTTAAAAGTTAAGTAAGTAAGTAAAAAAACTATTTTTTTAATAAAAATTTAATTTTTCTTTTTTTATATACAGGGTGTTTCAGAATAGGATGCTGAACCTTAAGGGTGTGAATCCTTAGTTGATTTTAAGAAAAAAAGTTCAAGTAAACCTATGACCTAAACCTCTTAATTTTTGACACGGTGGTCAAAACTAAAGTATAGGACGAACAAAAATGCCAACCAAAACTGATAGCATAATCTGATTATAGACTCTTTTGGTAACACAAAAATGTATTTATCAAAATCCCAGCTGATCCTTTATTAAAGTTTTGCATATTTCTTAGTATTTTAAAATTGTTTATGCCTTTCGATAAAATACTCTAGTACCATTATCAAATATTTTTAAAAATTTGGCAGATACATGACTGAAATATGAATAAATTACATTATAAATACAAAATAATGTAAAATACAGTTTGCAATATCTTATTTATTGTTATGGTACCTAATACAAAACTAATAAATAACTATTCTTAACGATTCTTTGAAGCAAAATCGATTACTGCTTGCCTTAAATTTTCAGTAAAACTTTTTCTTGGGTTTTACATGGAATTGTTTTTAACATGGAAACAGTATTTTTAAATTCTTTAGTCTCTGTACAAACATGCTTCTTACATCTAGCGATATCCCCTAGAAAGGAAGAGCATATCAAAACTTTGTTCGTCCGTCCTAATAATTTTTAATAATTTTTTATGCCCTTTATATCTTGCCATTTTGCAGATAAAGCACATACATTCTTGGCTGCCGCGAAATTCTCTAGCAATTTCTAAATTTTGAAAATTTGGCAATTGTGGCTATGCAAAAATACCGTTTTTACCATATTGAAGTAGGTAATTTTGTCTCCACAGCCAACACATACCTTCTTTCGATTTTCTTCATGGCTTAACTTTCGGTTTAATTTTCATTTTAAAATACTATTTTTAACTTTATAATGTATACATTAAATAAACAACTAAAGCAAAATGTCACTTGGGTTATAACGTATAGCAATTTTTTTCATAACCACCTTAATTATTGTTTTACAAAATTTGCAAGTTGTAATTATTTCATAGACAAACTTCCAGTATTTTTTGTTATAAAGAATAGTTAAGATATAAATATTCGTTTTTTTGTTATGTTTTGTTTTGAGTGGTAAATAATAATAGGTGACTCAATAAATTAATACTGGGGAGTAAAGTAATTTAAATGATACAAAGTTTAATATTTTGCTTAATTTTATTAAAATTGTACAGGTAGTTTTAGTACAATAATTGCAAAATAATATATAGAAATAGAAAATCAAAAAAGTTTGCAAAACTAAAATAGGATCAGCTGGGATTTTGATGAATACATGTTAGTGTTACCAAAAGGGTCTATAATCAAAATATGCTATCAGTTTGGGTTGGCATTTTTGTTCGTCCTATACTTAAGTTTTGACCACCGTGTTGAGTTACAGGGTGTTAAAGTTTTAAGAAAAAAGTCGTTTTTTTATCATAACTTTAATAAATTCCTAGATATTTTTATAAAATTTGGCACACGCCTTCTAATCATTAACAGTAAGTTTTTGATGTAGAAGATTTTTTATTTTTTTTTACCAGTGCCACTGCCACCCATTGAATATGGTAAGGATATAACAAATAATCATGGAGAATTCTCCACACTAGAACATGAGTAATATTTAAAATATTCCCAATTTTTCTAGTACTTATTTCAGGGTTTTGATCCACTTTTTATTTTTTTCATCGAAAAATGGTCAAGAAATCAAATTAGCCCTAAAATGAATGGGGATTTAAAAAATAATTTTTATTTTGAAAAACAGCAGGGGTGTGCATAATATTTTTCCAAAAATATCTAGACCACATCCTGTACGGACGCCACTGGTAAAAAAAATAAAAAATCTTCTACATCAAAAACTTACTGTTAATGCTTAGAAGGCGTGTGCCAAATTTTATAAAAATATCTAGGTAGTTATTAAAGTTATGATAAAAAACGATTTTTTTCTTAAAACTTTAACACCCTGTAACTCAAAAATTAAGATGTTTAGGTAATAGGTTTATTTAAACTTTTTTCTTAAAATCAACTAAGGATTCACACTCTTAAGGTTCAGCATCTTATTCTGAAACACCATGTATAATAACTTAATTAAATGAGTGCCTAGTAAAGTATATAAACGAGTTGCATATTATACTTTTTCTACGACATACATAATATTATCTAAAAAATGATTTAAATTAAATATTTTTCTAAAGCGACATCTATACAAAAATAAAATAAAAATCTCAATAAACATTTTTGACGTAATTTTCACCATTAACATTGCCCATTATATTTTAATTAAACTTAACAATTATTGAATCTTTAAAATATTAAAATAAATTTAAAATATGATTGTGTTAAGAAACTATTTTATCCTTTGATTTTTTTTATTACTATAATTGCAAAATATTATCATAAAGTATTAAAAATTCTTACACGGGAAATATTAAAGGTACAAAAGTTGACAATTGTATTTATTGGAATTCCCGTTAGAATTTCTAACGTGGGCGCTAAAAGCTCATATTTTTCTGGGTAAATCAAAATTTATCCCTTGAAAATAGACTAAAAATTGATATAGAAGCAGTTTTTCACAGTAAAAAAAAGATAATGTTTTATGTGAACTGTACTCAAAATTTTTAACGCTTTATCATTATTCGCGTTGAGAAACTATTTAATACTTTTGTATTTTTATATTTAGATAAAAAAATAATTTTCACTTTTTACAAGATAGGCACTTTATTTTAAGGATTGTATGACATTTGAATTCAATGTTCGCCCCTTGTGGTGTAATAAACTATTTTTTAATTCGACTATTTTTAAATAAATATCGAATTGTACCCAATCAAAATGAAATACACTGTATATATTTATTTATTTGTGTACCCTTTTACATACTTCACGGCAATTTCTCGTCATTTGAATGCATTATGATAATAGTTTATTGATTTATTTGTTGTATCTATTGATTTATCTGCCCAGATTTGCCTATGTTTAGCCAATACTCATACAGGAATATTTATTGTCTTGTTGAGTCAGTCCTTTTGTGCAACCTTTGAAAGGACTAAAAAATTATAACAAAAAAGGACGTACGGTATTGTCATTGAATATTTTATAAAATATTATAAAGTGTTGAATATTTATTTATTTATTGCCAAGTTAATCACAAAATAATTCCATCCATTCTGTAATTGTTTGAAATTTAAATTTACATATTTATTTTAATTTTTATTAGCTTACAATTAATCAAAAGTAAAAGTATATTTTATTAACATTATTTGTATAAAAATTATAGTCTTCTAATAGTTATAAATATTAAATATTTTTGATTTTCGATCTATGATACGGCATCACTCGTGAGATTTAATTAGGGATGTAAAAAACACTAAAAAAATAAGTTCTTTGTTGATTTTCAAAATGGCTACAATAATTTACAAAAAAGCATGTAGGTACATTAGACTGGTTGGTAATTCAATTTTTTTTTCTGATTTTAAACCGCCGGGCAAATAAAGTTTTTTTGTAACCTAAAACTTTTCTATTTAAATTTTGGTGACGATCGGATAATATTTACTAGCCGCGCCCAGGTGAGGAAATTTAAATATACAAAATATTCAGAAAATTGTTTTTATTTGGATTGTTTATGAGTGAATGCATGCACAAAACTTAAATTAATCAAAGAAATAAATATTCCGTTAAATGGTTAATAGAACAACATTCACAAAAAGCTATTAATGTCCAAATTCGGTTAGAATTTAAAAAAAGGTTCGTGAATATTTTACATTAAATTACTTAAGTGCGGTTTTGTTACAGGAAGGAAACTTCTTGCGATATGCTTCAACAAACTGAAAGACAAATTGCTTTTGTTCTTCATTTTGAGTCAAAATTCTATTGTAGTCTTTCATGAATTTAACACCGCGTTCAGCAACATCATTGACTACAAACAAACCACGACAAAAATCGAAAGCTTCTTGATAGTCGTCATTGTCTTCCCATGTTGATGGATCAAATTTCAAAAAAGCAGCAGGCAAGCCAAACGCATTGAAAAAATTGTAGGTCTTATACGATATGAAATCGCTTAAAGAGCTTGGGAATAAGACTTCCGGGTTTGAGATTCGTCGTCCTTCTAATAATTTTACGTTTGGTTCTCTTGATTGAAGATTTTTTACCATTTTTCGTTTATCTTCTAGTGGAACACAAGGATCAAAAAATGCCAGAGCTGTGGTCTCCGGCGTCAAGTACCACAAGTGATTCTTTATTTTTGACAAAATTGTATGAGATACTGCTGAATCAATTTCTGCATACGCGATCGAATCTTTAACAAATTGCAAATCTTGATTCGGAGCTGTGATGGAGCTTGGGCACCCGTACCAGACTTTTATATAAAGTTTAACTAAAAAAATGCACATATCCCGCAGCGCATTCTTTTCTGCAGCAGTCAATCTAAATTGTTCTCGAAAAAGAAAGATCTTTAGGCAGTAAATTGCTTTACCCATAAATCTTGCATGGGACGTTGAGCTGCACGTTCGAAAATCGCCACAGTCTTTTCCAAGGAACGCGAGTGTAAGCTGAAGAAGCTCTTTATAATCGGCACGGATTTGCTCTCTCTTCAACTGTTCACAGCAAAATTTCTTGACTACTTCAGATTCCTCATCGCTAATTTTAGAACGGACAATTTCGTCGTCAAAACCAAATTTAAACAATTTATGATTAAGATCATCCCAAACAGACGCGAATCGATTAAACATAAGCACTTCGGGACCACTGCTTGTGGAATGTTTTAACTCGAAGACTCTTTTTAAAATAATTTCATAGATGTGATGGCGACATGGTAGTTGAATTAATTTTCGGTCTAAATATTCTTGTAGGAAAGCAGTGGCACCGAGTTTGTGGCCGGTATTGGAAGAAGTGGTATCGAAACTCATGGCGCCAACTCGGTCAGTTATGTTCCAACTGATTAAGGTATCGCGAACAGCAATCGCAATATTTTCTCCTGTAGCTGGTTCTATAACGGCAGCACTGAGGAATTTGGACGTTTCCTTGTAGCTTACAAGAATCGCGATTCGATCAACTTTTTTTTTGCCAACTATGGCTTCCATCAATTTTCCATCCCAATGCACTACTAATGATCGCGCATTGTCCACCTACAAAATAAAAATAAATGCAAAACTGTAGATAAAAAACTGGAGAATAGGAAATATTGACTAAATTACATCTTCAATGAAATCAGCTTGAATGCTTTTTGATGCAAGTTCACGATGCACTCTTCGTAATTCACGTAAAGAGCTTCGATTAATAACAAGCTCAGTAACGTCTACTCCAAAAGCTTCTGCTGTTGCTATCAAAATGTGCACCGCTTTTCTGTCGGATACTTTAGCATCATCAAGGGCAGCGCAGAGGCGCTGTGTGATCCATTGCCTATGTCCTCTTTTAGAGGCCCCTTCCGCCTCATCATCGTAATCATTAATATCGAAATCCAAATCCATTTTCGGATCTATGGTGTCATTATCACTTTCACTTTCACTTTCTTCAATCACTAAACAAAATGTCAACAGAAAAATTAGAATCATACGCATATAATCAGAATAAAAAATATATATTTACCAGTAGTTTCTTGTGAAATTTCCAAGTGTTTTTTCTTTCGCGACTCTTCTTTATCTTTTCGTTCCCATGAACGTTTTTCTCGCCTGTTTAAATTTATGTCGACACCAGCCATGCAACCTGGACGACCTTTTTGTCTTTGTTTCAACAAAAACTGTCTATCCTCTTCAAAGTGAATCATTTTCAGTGCGCTGGCGTGCGCAATGTCAAAAAGATCGTCCAATTTCTCCATAAATTCAGCTCGTTTTGTATGCGGTATTCCTTTCGAAGAATCTTTTCGAACACGATTCCATGTATCGTACATTTTCATTAATTTTTCACCGCATTTATGTGCTTCACGTATTGGCAAACGTGCTTGGTGCCAAAACATTGATGCTGCGCTTACTGCCAACTTCGCACTTTCTTTTGACGTTAATCTTACGAATCTCATGTTATAAAAAAATACCTGCAGAACTTCTCTGTTGGACGGTAACTTAGCACCAGTGATTTGATGTTTCACGACTCCAATTAAATTGATATGACGCAAAACATTGTCGGTTGCACGAGTAATTCTTGTTGATGTTGTTGGTGGCGTTTCCGCAGATGAAGTCGATGGAATCGACATTGTAAACACTATTTTATAAATTTAAATAAAGATATAATCTCTTCACATTTGACGTTTAAATGAGGTTAATAATAGACAATTATTGCCAATGACAGATAATGATAAATACAGTAACTGTCAACCTGACAACGATATCTATAAAGTTAGTAACATTCTTTTTGCGCGGTGGAAAAAATAGGTATATTTTGTACTTGAAGAATTAGAGTAATGTCGTTTCTACATTTCATATAAAAGTTCATTTATTAAAACCAATTTTGGATTTATGTAGTTTTTAGCAATTAGCAATGCAACTACATACTAATTTATACATAAAAAATAAGTTTACTATAGTAAACTTATTTTTTCTAAAAATAAAATAGTCAAAATTCTACTATTTGAATTAGTACCAGCATTTTTTACTAATAAAATAGTCGTTTTCACTTTTAAATAGTTATTTTTTAATACGTAAATAGTTAAAGTTTGACTAATTTAAGATTAGTCACCATATTTGACTATTTCTGACAGTTAAAAGTAACTAATTTCTTTAATCGTTTACGGCCAACAACAAAGTATTATTTGAATTAAATGCATATACCTCTCCATGGTTAAATGACCCATAAAACAAATAAAGATGCAAAAAGTTTAGCTCAAAACAGTAACACAAATAATATATTAAACTTTAAAATATTATGAACAATATTTATTGACAAATAAAATTTATTTTTATAAGAGCGGCTGACAGCCGACTGGTTATGAGGTTAGGTTGACAAGCTTCTCAAGTGACAGACGTGAGTTCAATCCCAGGCTGGGTCAAAACTTTTTTTAAATTTAAATTTACTAATTTAACTATTTCATTCAGTGGAATTTGACTAATTATTAGTGACTGCTTTTTCGCTATGACAATTAGTCAAATATGACTTATAATTAGTTATTTTTGACTAATTCATTTTAAGAGAGTAAGCCATAATTAAATTTGTTTTAAAAATATTATTTTTATTAGTATTTTCCGTATTTTCATATTTACCTGCCTGGGCGCGGCCACTAAATATTATCTTATAACTACGAAATTTTAAATGAGACATATTTAGGCCAAAACAAAACTTTTTTCGCCCGGCGGTTGAAAAAAAATTTTTTACGACCAGTCTAAGGTACATCTTGCTTTTATTCATTTGATTGAATAACAATTTGCCCCACATTATAGTATATTGTATATAGATAAAGATGTACATGCTTTTTTGTAAATTATTGTAGCCATTTTGAAAATCAACAAAGAACTTATTTTTTTAGTGTTTTTTACATCCCTAATTAAATCTCACGAGTGATGCCGTATCGTATGAATATATTCATATTATTTTGTTTATTTTGACAAAAATATATATTATTAAAATATATTGTATATATTCATACTATTTTGTCTATTTATTAATAAAATTATATAAATCATGTTACTAGGTTGGCACAATTGACGTGAACCGAAATTAAATATTTAATGTCACTCAAAATAATACGTAAAATTTTGTTTTGTATATTTCGATGCTTTTAAGAGCTAAACAGTTTACACTTACCTCTAAAGATTTTATTTATATTTAAAATATATTTTTGATTAACAAAATCAGAAAAACAAGTTTTAACACATCGTTGACCTAAAAATTAAAAGGGTTGCCAACAGTTTAAAATAATCCTTAATTACGATGCTTCTACGAAGCTCTTAGTAGCATCCAAATAGACTAAAGTATATTATTGGTTCAAAGTTTGATTACTTATGAAATTGATGTTTTTTGCTGTTAACTGGTAAACTAAATTTAATTTCGTATATCTTGAAATATTTAACTTGGAGATTAAATATTAGACAAAATATTGTATTTACTTTTTTCCAAAGTCAACCTTTTACAATATTTTGCTAATATTTTAAATTATATTTAACTGCCTAATTAAATTTTTTTTATTTCATAAAAGGGGCCAAAAACAAAAAAATAAAAAAATGTTTTTACGTTACATCTCCAAATGTTGGCAGTGTTGCCGTTTCTGCGGATTAATCCGGATTTGAAGTGTGATCTGTGGATTTTTGTCGGTATATAATACGAATTTTACAAGATTGGATAATACAAAACTGCCCTTACTTTTGGTATAATTAATTAGTTTATTTCAATGGCAGGGCAGGGACAAATTTAAAAAATGACAGGAGAAATTCGCACATTAGTCAAAATTAAAAATAGCTAAAAAAATTAGCACAGTGGCATAAATTTAAAAAACCAGCCAAGACATTAACACATTCCTACCTACCACTTTTTAACTTTATTTTTTTTAGATTGATATTAAAATTAATGATAACATGATAACATTATAATATTTAAGCTTAAATTTAAAACAATAACCTTTTTATAGTCAAACAGAACAACTTTACACTTAATTATTTTTTTGTACTACCACCTTTAAAACGCCCTTTATCGTAAATACTCATTAATTAAAGCACTCGCTCGCAAGCTCGCTCTAAATTAAATTCGTGTATAAAATGACGTTTATCAAACTTGATACATAATATACTATTATTCTCAATGTGTCATAATTAATCTTGTCTTATAATTGTTTAATTAATTTAAAAAAAATTGTATATCATTGTTTATTGTAGGTATTGTTTGTCTAGATAATGTAATTTTTTTGCGGTAGGTAATAAATATAATTATATTTTGTTAATTTAAAATGTCAATATGTTTTCTTACTCTTGAGTAGGTAGTGTTAATATACTAATATTAATGGTTAAATTTTTTCATGATTTTTTACATAGTTATTGTTGTTTATTTTAAAATCCAAATATTTTATTTTGTTTTTATAACTATTTATATTAATTATAAGAGTTTAATTAAAGGTTCCTAATATTTTAAAATGATTTAAAAATGAATGACAATGACAATTATTTTTTAATAAACAAATCCATTTCTACCAATATTTAATTTTTTTTACTGTCAAAAAACACAGTGCATTATTAAATTTAAAATAATCTGTTTGCATTTAATTAGTACCTATGGATTAGCAAAACAATTAACATAAAGCATTATTGAAATTAGCACATATGTATTTTTTTAAAGGTGTTGGCCGTTATTGATATCGTGACTCCAAGTCGACCGAACTTTAATAATAATGCCGTAGTAATAAATAACAAGATCTTTATCGGCAAAGTGGCAATTTATTAAAATTGTTTTCGGTCAATTTTTTAAGTGGGATGAATTTTTTATTATTTAATTAAGTAGGTACACCTCTTAATACAATTTATATTTTGTTTAATAAATACATAATGCCTTTAATACAGAAATTATAATTAAATATACTTAGCATTATTCTTCTGTAAGGTTTTTCCAATATTATTGTCCGGAGTGTGTTAAAAAGGTATTGTCAAAAGTTTTTAATTGTAATTCATTTTTGACTTATTGCCATGGCGCAAAATAAAATAGTCAAATTATTAGATTAATCTACTAGATTTAAATTAAAAAAAGTTATGACGGATCTGGGGTTTGAACTCGGGTCTCTTAGTAATCGCCGCGCTATGCCACTTTTATAAATGACAATTTGTCTACAAATATTGTTAATAAATTATCAAATATAGGGAATGGTTTAATCTCTTTAATTTATATTTTATATAATATAATATTATACTTTATTTTAAAATGGTATACTCGTACATACTTTCTTAGAATGAAATAGTCAAAAATGACAAATTGTCATAGCGAAAAGGCAGCCACTAATTATTCTCGTCAACAGCAATTTGTATCTAGCTGTCAATATCTATGTAAAATTGTCCGCTGAATCCGTAATGTCAAAAGTTATTAGTATTTAATAACTACGAGTATAATAACTATTGTAGAAAAATTAGGTTACAAATATTGACTAAAACAATGCTTATATTGTAAATAAACAAGTGGTAAGTGGTAAAAGTATAGGATGGTCGTTATTTTTGCTGCTAAGTTTAGAATGTACTAAACCTTAAATATAAAACAAAAAAATTACCATAAAAGGCTAAACAGCAATTCTTAAATAAGTATAATAAGGTTTATTGTTTCAAAATTTCCATTTTTATCTCGTACTTGCCCATAAATTCCTGCTACCAATTTATTTAAAACATTTTTTATTGTAAAATTTAACGCTTATTTAAAATAATATAAAGTATGCATCTATTAAATATTACATAACAGCCACATATAAAACCACAGCGATATTTGTTTTAATTATTTTCCCTCGACTTTATAAATAATGAAGACCTTGAAAATATGCAGTATTTGCATAAATATTCGTTTTAATTGTAGAACATCACATTTTCTATAAGTGGTCAATATCGAACGCAAATTTAAATTTTATTGTTAAGGATTTTCATGGTTAATGGGAATTAATTAGACTAGGTAATTTTATGGATAGGGGAAAAGTTTTTTTTTGTTATTTATGTGTAATGTAAATATATTTTGGCATTGTCATCAATGAAATGCTATGCTAATTCATACGAGGAATGCTATAGTTTGAGTTTGGTAAGGTTATATGCTGGAATAAAAACTATATATAGTTTTTATTCCAGCATATAATCTTACCTTACCTATAGGGATTCTGGATTATAATTTTGTTTTAAACGGTTATAGAAAAAAAGCAAAGACAACGAATTTTTCGGTTGGGACATATTTAATGTCGCAGAAGGCCGTAAGACGTAACGCAAGACGTATTGCGTTTCGTCTTAAGTCTTGCATTGCGTCTTGTAGTGTAAAATTATAATTTATATGGTATACTGCTGCAATGACAGGATTCATGTAATAATTTTTGAAAAATTTTTAATAATAACAATTTTAACGTCTGGCAACACTGGTCGGGAGCCAGGGAGCCCAGTTGCCACTATGCATAGAGCCTTTCGACAACGACTGGCTACAATGACGCGTTTTTTCACAAAGTTGGTATACCATTTAATTTTAAAACTTTATGACACCCACAATCGACACAACAAGGTCTGTTTTATCTCGAAATCACGAAGTTAGGCAACCCACTGC